TCCTTCTCCAGCACAGCCACACACAGAGACACTTCACCTGCTCTCCTTCTGGCAAAACCCCCCATTTTCACAGCTATATTTCCTGGGTTACTAATGTTTTGGCTTGCGGAGATTTCCCAGAAGTGCTCAGGAGACACTTGGTATGAAATTGCTCATGACATTCAGGCCCTAGTTCTAAGCCAAGCTTTATGGAGGGCCCTCTAGAAAAATAGAACTCCTACTTAGATCAAAGGGATTAGAGTTCCCCCGTAGGGGTTTAAGATGAGGTCTGAGCCCTGCTGCAGATGAACTCACAGCTGAAACCTAATGTTTCCTTGAGGCAGAAGTAGGTTTATCAAATCTTGGACAAGTCTTTATTGCAAATTCCTATAGATTGTGGCAACAGTCTCTCTCTCTCTCTCTCTCTGTGTGTGTGTGTGTGTGTGTGTGTTTCACACTCCAATATCAGCTTTGATTTGAGCCCAGCAGGCAGTGTTCAGGTGTATAATGTGTGATCGCACACCTTCCTCCGTGACATTAAAAAAAAAAAAAGGCTTTTAATGTATTCAGGACTTGTGTTCAGCAAGTTTTTAAGCAGCAGAGAGCACATTTATAGAGAAATTAGTGATGCAGTTTCTCACCTGTAGTCGAGAAACATATCTTTCTCTATGAAGGTGCTGTGACAGACAAGTCCTCCTGTCGTACTGGGAAGACCTCATTCCTTTCCCCCAGTGCCATTTGAGATCCACCCCTCCTCTGAGGTAATTCACCTCTCAGGGTGGCTTTGATCTCAGGCACTCTTTCAGGGTCCGTGTCCGGAGTCACGCACAGAGAGTAAAGTTGCCCAGAAGTGACATCTCATAGCGGTTACCACAAAGGTCACAAATTCACCCTTAACCTGCTCTTGTCCACTGTAGCCCTTAATATAAACCATAGATATGAAAAATCAGCTGTCTCGTGTGCCCCACTTTTCAGACCTTCTTGTTTGTATGTATGTGTATGTTTGTGCATGTTCATGTACAAGCAGGTAGATGTGTGCGAGAGTGTATGTGGAGGTCAGAGGCCAACCTTGGGTGTTGTTCCTCAAGAGCTGTTTTTGGAGACAGAACCTCACATTGGAACCTAGGGCTAGGCTGTATGACCAATAAGATCCGGGGATCTTCCTAAGTGTGCTTTATCCCTGGCTTTTCATATAGATTCTGGGGATTGAACTTGGGTTGGTATCAGGCTTGTGTATCAAGCACATTACTACTTGAACTGTCCTCCAGCCCTGTAGTATTTATAGTTAATACATCTATATGTGTTATGAACCACATGAGCAAAATCATAGTTTTAGGTTTTGTTCTACCTCCACCGTGCGTGGTGCGTGCGTGCGTGTGTGTGTGTGTGTGTGTGTGTACTAGTACACACATGCCAAGGCACAGGTGTGGAGATCAGAGACCAACCTTGAGCCTTGGGCATCAGTCCCTGACTTCCACCTTGTTAAGGGCAGAGTCTTTTGTTCACTGTTGGGAACACCACATTAGCAGACTATGGACTTGTGAAGAAGGTTCGTCTCTCTGCTCCCCATCTGGACATGGAGGCACTTTTATGTGGGTTCTGGGCATAAGAACTCAGGTCTTACAGAAAGGGGGTGGGATGGGAGGGGAGGTCGGGTAGAACTGGGGGGAGTAGAGGGATAAAAAAAAACCAAAATCACCATATATATTGTACGAGAAAAAATGTTTTTTCAATAAAGGGGGAAAAGAGCTCAGGCCTCACACTTGGCGAGTTGACTCAATGGGCCGTCATCTCTCGAGCCCCAATTTTGTTATTTTAAGTTCGCAGTTTACAAGAACTTCAGAGAGAAAATGGAGGAAAAGGCTCTGTGTGTTTTCCCAGATATCGAGCCTTTCTGATTTTGAGGTGATGGTTCTGAAAATTAAACCCAGGGCTTCAGGTTTGCTAAGCATACCCTATACTACCAGTGATAATCCAAATTCTCAATTTCATTGTTAATCATTGTCTAACTGCTTTAATCATATTGCTCTTGTTTTATCTACATACACTTGGAAAAAGTTCCTTATGTTAATATATAAATTATTGCATAAATAATTTATACAAATTATTTTTATAAAATATTTTATATAATAAATTTATTATATAAAACTTACATAAATAATATACATTATGTTTATTGATGCTTCATTCTTAGCTACATCATATATCACCCCCTGGTTTATTTGTGTTTTAATAGATTATTTTATATACACACACACACACACACACACACACACTTTTCATTATAGCACTCAAACATTTCTGTGGTCAATTCTAGTTTACTGAGAAATACTCAGAAATGAGGTTTGAAGCTGTGGAATCAGAGGGATTTAGGTTCAAAACCTGTCCCCAGCCACTGCCAACTGCTTACCTCTGTGTATACCTTCACTTGCCAGTGTTATAATGTCACAGCGTCACAGTGTCACAGCATCAGTGTCACAGTGTTACAGCATCACAGTGTCACAGCATCACAGTGTCACAGCATCACAGTGTCACAGCATCACAGTGTCACAGCATCAGTGTCACAGTGTTACAGCATCACAGCATCACAGTGTCACAGCGTCACAGCATCACAGCGTCACAGCATCACAGTGTCACAGCATCACAGTGTCACAGCATCACAGTGTCACAGCATCAGTGTCACAGTGTCACAGTGTTACAGCGTCACAGTGTCACAGCATCACAGTGTCACAGTGTCACAGCATCACAGTGTTACAGCATCAGTGTCACAGTGTCACAGTGTCACAGTGTTACAGTGTCACAGCATCACAGCATCATAGTGTCACAGCATCACAGTGTCACAGTGTCACAGCATCACAGTGTCACAGCGTCACAGCGTCACAGTGTTACAGCGTCACAGTGTCACAGCGTCACAGTGTCACAGCATCACAGTGTCACAGTGTCACAGCATCACAGTGTTACAGCATCAGTGTCACAGTGTTACAGCATCACAGTGTCACAGCATCACAGCATCACAGTGTCACAGCGTCAGTGTCACAGTGTTACAGCATCATAGCATCACAGCGTCACAGTGTCACAGCATCACAGTGTTACAGCATCACAGCATCACAGTGTCACAGTGTCACAGCATCAGTGTCACAGTGTTACAGCGTCAGTGTCACAGTGTTACAGTGTCACAGTGTCACAGCATCAGTGTCACAGTGTCACAGCATCACAGCGTCACAGTGTTACAGCGTCACAGTGTTACAGCGTCACAGTGTTACAGCGTCACAGTGTTACAGTGTCACAGTGTTGTTACAGTGTTACAGTGTCACAGTGTCACAGCATCATAGTGTCAGAGCATGGGAGTGTCAGAGCATCACAGTGTCACAGTGTTACAATGTCACAGTTTTACAGTGTCAGAGTTTTACAGCATCAGAGTGTTACAGTGTCACAGTGTTATGTCACAGTATCAAACCCTGTCAGATGAACATTGTGTAAGACAACTCATGTGAAATAGCTACCTCAGGGCTGTGCAAGAAGCCCTAGTTCAGATGGTGACAACCGTCACTGTCCTATGCTCATGATGGCTTTCTGCCCTGCTTTGTTGCCCATGCTTACGGAGAGAGTCCATTGCCACCCTGAGGTTATAGAAACGTTTGCCCACATTTTCCTTAAACGTGTATTTGTCATCTATTCCTCTTCTTGCTAATTTAAATGGTCGCCTTCTTAAATCTGTGTTTTATTTTTTTTTTTGTTTAGACAGCATCTCACACGTTCCAAGATTGTCCTGAATAGCAGAGCATAACCTTGAACTTCTGACCCTCTGCCTTCACTCCTGGATGCTGAGTTTACATGACTGAGTTGCCATATCCAGTACTAAGAATGGATCCTAGGATTTCACGAATACTAGAGAAGCACTCTATCAACCGAGCTATGTGTTCAGGCCCCTCTCTCCAGCATTTCATTTCTTCTTGAAATTGTTGATGAATGTACCGGCTTGCCTTAATAGCCCGTGTTGAGACAGGACTGTACACTAGGGCACTGGTTGATTGTGTTCTCAAAGTGGCATCCATCCTCCTGTCTCAGCCTCCAGGGCTGTGACTCAAGCCCCTCTGCCTCATTGGTTAATTTGTAATGTAAATTTTAATATTGCAAGATCACATTTTTCTGGTGTTTATCTTATTAAAATTTCCTTTCCCCCATTTTCTTTTGACTCTTCAAAAGAACTCTGGAGGTGCTTGGTAATTGGGCTGATACAAAATATAGTAAGAACATGGAAATTTTAAGTGTTCAGTATGAGAACATCATATGTTCCCTAGCTTGTGTAAGCCTCCCTTCCTGGGTCTCAGAAGGTTTGGGAGCTTTGTTTCTTGCTGTACAGAGGGGGCTAATCCATTCCCCAGCAACCTTACATTGTGGATCTCTATCAGCTTTTCTCACCTCATGTTCCTGTTCTCACTGATATTTTTCAAAAGAATGTTCACACCAGTCTTCTGCAAATATTTACATTTTTTTCATTTAATTCCCTGAAACCTCCAGCACAGACGTTACAATGGTGCTTTGTCAGAGCGAAAAGGTGTCCTTTTAATTTTGTTATTATTTTCGTCTTGCACATCTCTAAAGTTGATGAGTTAGAGTCTATTTCATTCCCACTCTGCCGATAGGGAATCTAGGGCATCTAGTGGCTAAGTTATCTACTTCAGTCCTGGTTAGGGTTCAAGTCCGTGCCTTGTGGCAGTCCCGCGTGCAAGGTCCAGATTCAAGGAGGGAACTGAGGCTCTTCTCGTAAAAACTTCGTGGTCTCCCTCCTCTTGACGGCTCCACCTGTCTCTCCGAGTCTCGCCGCACGGGGGCGCAGTGTGCACGCGCTGCGGGACCTTGGAGTCCAAGTGGCCCGGCAGTGGACAGCAGGTGTCAGCAGGCGGCAGCGGCCAAGTGCAGAGAGGGTGTCCGTCCACGGGGAGGGGCTGGAGCGGGCTGCATCGCCCGCAAAGCAGCCTTAAGGATGCAAAGTAGGCGCGGGAGGGCTGTGCCAAGCCATAAAAAGTGGCGGGGAGGGCGGGAGCAGAGCTGGGCACTCGAGGGGCGCGGGGCGACAGGACGATGGCCATGGCCGTGGCTGTGCTGCGGTGAGAGGCACCCAGGGGATCATGAAGGCCAATGGCAGCGCTCTGCTCAATGCCTCACAGCAGGCACCAGGCGGCGGGGAGAGTGAGCAGCCGCGGCCGTCGTGGCTGGCCTCCACACTGGCCTTCATCCTCATCTTCACCATCGTGGTGGACATCCTGGGCAACCTGCTGGTCATCCTGTCTGTGTATCGCAACAAGAAGCTTAGGAATGCAGGTAGGGGCTTCCAGCACCTCTCCCAGACCTAGCACCCGCCTGGTGGGACACCAGGAAAACTTCAGAAAGTCAGCTTCTCGGAAAGCAGACTTTGAATCATTTTTCTTCCTAGCGAATATGTGCTCCCTTCTCTTCACCCCGTCCCTCTAAGATGCCTTGTCAGAGATCATCACAAGTCTTCAGTCCCTAGAGGTGGAAAACTCTTAAATGATGTCTGTCTCCTTCAGGAGCGTCTCTTTACTCTAGCTTTCCGATTCCCGATTCCCTGGGTTGATTAGCTAGGGTACCGATTGAGTAAATTCCTCAAGACACCTTTTCAAATTACATCAACGAACTCATCAATTGTTTGGATTTGCATATAAATCAGTTTTCCCAACTTGGCTAAAATAGAAGATGCATGAGCTGCCAAAATGACAGCCACTGTTTCTGTTGTCGTCGGGTGTAGATTTTTCAGCTTTAATAGCATCCAATCGCAGGGTGGAGGGGATGGTCCTAAGAATGCTGGGGAAGGAACAAAATGACTTTTGCTCTTCAAGCCAACAAGCCTGCATTTTAAAAATGGATTTTGTATCGAGGGATGCATTCACATATAGTGTAGGACTAGACTTAATTCTGTGTTTGAGTTATAAATTGGGGTTCCCTCGAGCAATGAGGTGAACCAGTTACCCTGGGTAAGAGCAGGTCAGTCAATTCTTTATGAGCTATGCTTTTTCCCCCCACACTTTAAACGGTGCCAGGTGGCTTGGTTTTCTGTCCCTTGTTTGGAAGCAAACTTTTGGAAGAAGGGTAGAAAGGAAGCCGTTCACTTAAATATTTGCCCAAAGTGGTATTTGTGTCCTAAAGCGGGTAGCTGGTGAAAAAAACGCAAACTCAGGCAGAACATCTCTCCCACTCTGCCCTAGCTTCTGTAACCCTTCAGGCTGTGCAAAGTGTAAGCATTAGTTTGAAGACATCTAATATGACTTCCGTTTGCCTTAGAAAAATGGGGTGACTTCCTTTCATGAACGATTGGTTTAAGCGAGAATTCTGTCTTCAGGATGCAATAGCTTAGTGGCAGTGTTTGCCCCCCCCCCCCCATCGGTAAAGCCCTCAGTCTGATCTCCAGCACGGCAATCAATGAATACCTGGGAGAGCATACTCCCTCATAAACTAGGAGCCACATTCTGCAGGCTGCATGTGGCTCTGAGCACCCACACACAGAATTCTTTGGTCAGCTCAAGAGTGGGTGGGGTGTCAGACGTACCCATTTTAGAGAGAGTGATGCATGATGCTCAGAGTCTTGCAGGCTCAGTGACGGGAAGGGCTGATTCTTGGTGCTTCTGCCTGGAGCCCACCCGCTGTGTGTCACTACTGTTTGTAACTTACATGAGGAAGTCTGAATCGCACAAGATCTTTCCTGTAAAGAATGTTCACATTCCTAGTGGCTCAGGCACAGGACTTACAACTTACAGGTAGGACTTACAACTGTCCTACCGCTTTGGACTTTATTGGCTAAGCAACTCCTTGAGAGGAGAGTCTATATACTGCATTCCCAGGTTTGTACAGAAGACCTTAGGTGAGCTTTAATCCATAAAGCTTTAGAGCATCATGTTTTTATAGCTGGGCTATTTGCTCAAATACACCACCATTGAGTTCAAACCATTTGAGGCTTTAACAAAAATAGTGATTTGGATCAGAGCTAGAGATAGCTGATTCAAATCTGTTGTTAGATGATTATTAAAAGTTTTATTGATGCTAGGTGTCGTGGCACGTAACAGTGTGTGGAAGGCAGAGCCAAGTGGGTCTCTGAGTTTGAGGCCAGCCTAGTCTACATAGTGAGTTCCAGGCAAACTGGCATTATGTATGAGACTCTGTCTCAAAGCAAATGTTTTAATGACTGCTCAGTTTGTGTATTTGTTCAGTTTTTTCATTGGTTTTAAAAGTGGGAAGATCATAAATAGGCTGGAGAGATGGCTCGGTGGTCAACAGCACAGGCAGCTCTTGCAGAGGACCCGGGTTCGGTTCCCAGCACCCACATGTCAGCTCACATCCATCTGTACCTCCAATTCCAGGGGATCCTACACACTCTCCTCACCTGCATGGGCACCAGGCATGTATGTGGTGCACATACCCACATGGAGGCAAACACTAACACTCATATAATAAAAATACATAAATCTTTTCTCAAAAGGGCAATATAGAGAACAGAAAAAAAAGACAAGAATGCTAAAACACATGAACTTTCCAATAATTCTTTCCTCTGGAAATCTGGTATAATTGAAGAATTATTTTTAACCTTTTCCTTTTCTCAAGAGACTAGCTTGGCCTTTTGATATCTCTAGGAAGAAATCACCAATACTTAATTAGCTGAGGGGCTGAGCGATCACAACAGGTACCATCTTTAAGCAACCAATCAGTTGCTAAAGGTTGACTGACTATCTGCTCTTTTTCTCTCCAAGTTCTGCTAATGAGAAATGATACATCTTCAGTGGGTGTAACACAGGAGAAGGCTTCCAGAAGTTATGTTCTCACTGTGTACATTATAACCCAAGAAATCAGTTGTGGTCCAACCTTACTTTCCACATTTGTCAGACAGGGATAACGCCTACACTTTAGTCCCACACTATGCACTATGTTCTGTTGTAATTGTTGCAAGTATCAGGTGAAATGATGCCTATGAAAATACTTTGAAAAAGATGGAGAAATTAATGACATTTGGACTTTATTGTTTGGGTGGTTTTTTTTCTTTTTGGTTTGCTAAAAGGCAGCTTTGCAGGCTCTGGCGTGGTGCATTTTTCTTTATGTACATTATACTGAAATAAAACTTTTCCTAAAACAATGCAACGGCATCCTGCCTGCTCAAAATTCAGTTATCCGGCAAGGAAAGCTGTATAGGATATGCACAAAGGGGGAAGATTAACAAAATGGTAGGCTTCCATGCATAGACAGTTGGGCTCTATAGAACGCAGGATTCTACAAAGTTGTCTTGCTGGGGCCTGGGTGCCCAGGATTACAAGCAACAAATTAGGGGAACATGGTTGGCACTGTTCTGTGGCCCCAATGAGTCTTTGGAAGCCACCTACCCTACTCTAAGTTCCAAGTCCCCTGGAATTCGATGAGAAGCTGACAGAGTGGTAATTGAGGGAGCAAGAAAAGGATTTAAGGGCAAGATAGACAATGGGGAATGAATTTCATGGTGATAGGGTGAAAACATGTACAGTTAGCTCGACATATCTCAGTATCATGTATCCTGAGATTCAACTAACGGAGGGTCAGAGACATTGGACAAGTGTGGTTTTTGTAACTTCTCCACAAACAGCACAGTGTAAGAAATGTTATATAGAATTTACAATTTGGGTTTGCTTTAATTTTCTGGGCTGGGTCTTAAGTGGTAGGCTTCAGTGATCCTCCCATCTCCACAGAGTAGCTGGGATGTCAGGCATGTGTCATAGTGTCTGCTCAGTCAACAACTGCTATTCTAGATAACATAAATAATATGATGTAAAGGGCACAAGAAATGTGCATAGTTTTTAATGCAGATGTCATGTCATCTGATTGTAGGGACCTGAGCATCTTTGGAGCTGGGTACCACAGGGTCCCTGGAACCAATCTACTGTGATTATCAAGGTGTAGCTGTATAGTCAGCCATGTGTAGCTCCTCATCAGTCAAATGCTCCTGTGTGGGGACAGTGGTGTCAGGTAATATGGAAGTGGAAGCTGCTAGAGCGAATGGCCCAGAGTCTGTACTCCAAGGTTTTCACTGTGTTTATAGATAACACCTCTTCTGTGGGGAAGATCAGTCAGGCGCTTGCCAGTTCTAAAGTCCTTTGATTTCCCCAATTACATCTTTGGTGAAGACAGCCAACTTATCATAAGTCAGCAGGTTGCCATCTCATACCTGCCTCTCTCTTCTGGGGAAAATGGCCCCACGATGACATCTGCTCTCCCTTTCAAGGAACATTTATGAGTTTTAAAAATCCCTCATGCAGTTTTCCCTACTTGAGAGAGGATAAAGTAGCTGACCACAGAGAATCATTTAAGTTCTCCTTTGGTGGAATGCTGTCTGGATAAGAAACTATGGGTGAAGTTTGGCAAGATGGGTTAGGGGCTCTGGTGATGAATGAGCCAAGTAAGGGGTGTGTATGAAGAACCAACTCTTTTTACTTAGCCAGCTTTGCTGATTTTGGATGGACCAAGGAGAGAAATCAGAATTGTCATGACTCCATTAAGATGTGTTCACTGGAGAGGAACAGCCGTAGTCAGCAGCCAGCCTGGCTATTCAGTTTATAACAATACTCAAGGAGAAAACAGCAGAGTTGAAGTTCATGTAGTGAGCACATGGCCCACAGCTGTTTCCCAGGAATAGTGAAAATTAGAGCTTTACTCATGAGAAGGATTTGAAAAATAGAGAACCAGGTGTTGCCTCCTGCTGCATCGACTCAGCACATCTGTTTTAAGGTCACAAGAGTGGCTTGTCAGGTGGTTTATAGCAATTTGAACACCAATGCTCTGTGATGTCTGAAAAGAATACTAGACAAGAGAATAAAATATACACACCAGATAACTGAAAAAAAATCTCAAGAGGAATTTATTTTAAAATAGTAGGTATCTGGGACGATGTCTTTAAATCATCTTATGTTTTCAGAAATATTTTCCACAAAAATGAATTTTACTTCTTGCATTTTCTCACTGTGAATGTTATGATGGACATCAATTATGAGAGAATCAGAGTATTAGTAAAATACAGCTTCTGGGATAAATTGAAAGCAGCGGGCTGATCTGGTTTTTCAATATATCATTAATCTAAATTTGTGGTAAAACTTTGCTCTCTTATTGTCTTGACCTATAATTGATTAACAAAAATTGGTGATCATTGTTGATTGATTATTTCTGCTTACAATAAAATAATGTATTGTATCTATATCCAACCAATGCCAACAATGATATGAATTAGTTTCCCAGACCAACAGTGCAGGAATTTTAGAAACTTTATAGATGGATTTGTGTTAGGAACATTTCTA